TATCCATACATTCTCTCCAATCAGTTAGTTCACCAATAAAATGCCAAATTACAACACTCAAACCACAAATTTCAATCTTGTCCATTTGTAAGGAAATTGATGATGATGATGATTTTCATTTGGGAATTTATGCAGTACGATACGATATTCATTTTAGGTCTTAATTGGAATTGTTGACCTTTTATTATTTCCCCTTTTGCCCTTCCCCCCACAGTGTGTGGCCTTCAATTAATTTGTAGCAAAAAAATATAAAGTAAAAGTAATCCCGATACTACAAATTGATAAACTCAAAACGTACAATGAATGTATGCCCAAAATAAAAAATAAAATACATTTTACAACATAAATGCTTTCCAATTTAACCACAACTTTTGTTGTGCTGAATAAACAAATTCAGTAATTTGTAGAGCCAATGATGATGGTCTACAGTTTTTGGATGGACAATTTTAAATATGAAAGGGAGGGTTTTCAATAAAAAATAAATATTAAATATATAACGGACGAGTATGCCAACATGATTTAAATTCCAATTCCTCCAAGGCTTAAATGGGATATACAGGGTGAGATGAAAAAACTTTAACCAACTTCTGACTGCTCTCATTTCTAAGTCACTCGTCCGACAGCTATTACAATTGTTCCAGTGACAGCTCATTATATTGTTTAAAAGCGTACAAAAGCATTTTGCTGAGAGTTTTCCAGAAAAAAGTTATTCGTGATGGAATTCAAGCGTGATAGTGTGATTTCTTTATATTTGGCTGGAAATTCACAAATGGCTATTGTTAGAGCACTCCAGCATTTAAATGTGAATAAATCTTTTGTGTCCCGTACCATCGCTCGTTACCGTGATACTGGTAGCGAAGCCCGACGTTAAGGCAATGGACGGAAAAAACAGCAACATCAGCAGAAATGGTTCGAATAGTAAAGAAGCAACTTGATCGAAACCCGCGTCGCAGTGGCCGAAAAATATCTCGAGAGCTGAACATATCGCAATATTCCATTCAGCCATTGAAATTCCAAAAAATGCAAGAACTTACACCGCAACAGAAAGGAAATAGACTCAAAAGAGCTAAAGAGTTGCTTCGCTTGGCCGAAAGTGGTGATCTGCCGGTTTTCTCTGGTAAGAAAACATTCGTTGTCCAACAGTTTGTAAACAAATAAAATGATCGTGTTTACTTGCCAAAGAGGTCAGCTGAAAATATGCACCTTCGATTGGCCACCAGAACTCAAGCGCCGCCCATGGTTATGGTGTGGGCCGCCATTACAGCCGATGGTCGCTCTCCGGATATTATCGCGAAAACATTCTGGAGGATGTATTAAAGCCTTGGGCACGCAAACATTTTGGCCGCAGACCTTGGACATTCCAACAGCACTCAGCACGCGCCACCCAAGAATGGTTACAAAATGAGGTTTCTCACTTCATTTCCAGTGCAAATAGGCCACCAAAATCTCCGAATACCAATCCGTTGGACTATTGTGTCTGGAGTATTTTGGCACCAAAGCAAGGTTGGCACTAAAAAATACCAAAGTGTCGATCACCTCAAGCAAGCGCTTCACTGGGAATGGGCAAAAATACAGCAGAGCAACATTCGGGCAGCGTGTGCCGATTTCATTGGCAGTTTTAAAGCCATAATTCGTGCCAAAGGTGACCAAATCGAACAAATCTAAACTTATTCTAAAATTTGATACTATTTCCTGCATTTTTTGCTTTCATTTAATAATATTTAAAAAAAAAGGTGTAAAAATTATGGCGGTTGACTATGTTGCAGTTTTTTTTTATCTCACTCTGTATTTCATTGTTTTCCTTCTGTTAACTGATAGATAATATCTTAATTATATACATAGCTGTATAGCAAAATGTATACTCTTTGATACTGGAAAAATGTCTCTATACCTCGAAGGGAGTATCGAATTGGGTCCAAGCTTGGTGTATCATAAAACTTTAACCAAATTATGTTCTAAAATTTCCAAAAAATTAGAAAAAAATTTCAAAAATTTTTGATATCATATTGGCACATAAAAAGATAAGGTTTATTTCATCTTCTAGCAAAATTAGGAGTCAGTGTACGATTTCTAGCACATTCTTATATTGTTGCCTGCGTTAGAGCAAGTGGCAAGTCCGGTAGATATCCATTAAATTTTCGAAAACACATAAATCTCGCTTAAGGTCTAACAGGGTTAACTAAAAAAATTCCACTATACACCTAAAATTAAAGGATTCCAAGGAATTTTAATCGGAAAACTTCAAAACATTTGGATGTGAGGGGTAACTTCTCTATGTAAGATGTAAATTTTTAAAGGACCATCATAGGTGTCTTTTACTTTTAGTTCTACTTCGATAATCGACTGGATATTTCCTGCAGTTATTACAAAAATTGAATTTTGTAGCACAATATCTTCGGTGACAGGTCTCCAAATGTTGACCTTTTTTGTATGTATGTTATGGTAATTTTATTCCAAAAATTGTAGAAACATTTCGATGAATTAAAGGTAGACGTTAAGCCGATTTTAATAAACTACACTACATAGTGGTAAGGGTATTATGTCTTAATGCATTTGTTTGTAACATTAAGAACGAAGTTACTTTTGAGGATCTTCCTGGAATCAATTTCTGAGTCGATTTATGCATGTATTTATGCATGTACATTTTTGAGCAACAGCTGGTTGAGATGAGATTTTCCAAACAATATTTTTTTGGCCCAAGGACGAATCCTATTGAAATTGGTGAGAATCGTTTCAAATTTAGATATAGCTCCCATATATATCCTCAACCGATTTTGGGTTAATTGTGCACCCAATAGCCAATATAAGTCCAAATGTCCTAAATTTTAGCATATCCGTCCGAATTCAGTCTAGAAGCTAGTACATTAAATTCGGTCCAGACTTAGCTTTAGCTCCCATATAAATGTTTCATCTGATTTGGTGATTAATACCTCACTTTGGTAATATACATTCGACAACAATATTTGGTACCAAATATCTTGTAGAGCTCGGAAATACCTCTGCCAAATTTTATGAAGATCGGTTTGGATTTGGATATAGGTCCCATATATATCTTCAACGGATTTCGGGATAATTGTGCAACAAATGGCCAATCTCAGTCCAAAAGTCATTAATTTTGGTACATCCGACCGAATTCAGTCTAGGTGCAAGTTAATCGAATTAGGAGAAAATGGTTCCATGTATTTGTTTCATCCGATTTGATGTTTAAGTCCCTCATATTCGTAATATGTAACAATGATATTTGGTACCAGATATCTTATAAAGCTCGGAAATATATTTGCCAAATTTTATATATATATATATATATATATATATATATATATATATATATATATATATATATATATATATATATATATATATATATATATATATATATATATATATATATATATATATATATATATACATATATATATATATATATATATATATATATATAAAATTTGGCAAATATATATATATATATATATATATATATATATATATATATATATATATATATATATATATATATATATTTGTATGTGTATTTTTGTGAACAAAGTACAGTTCGCATTTATTACCCGATCCAGTTTTGCAGAAAATTTTGCACAAATCATTTGCTTGGCCCAAGGACGAACCCTATTGAAATTGGAGAGAATCGGAAAAAAATTAGATATAGCTCCCATATATATCTTCGACCGATTTGCCTTTTATTGTGCACCAAACGTGTAATATCTGCCCGAATAGTATGGAATTTTGCACATACAACCTAATGAAAATTAGTATGTCAAATGTGATCGAAATCGGTTCAGATATAGCTATAGCTCCATTATATATTTTACATCTGTAACAACAGTATTTGGGAAAATATATCAAATACAGCTCAGAAATACCTTTGCCAAATTTTATCAAGATCGGTTCAGGTTTCGATATAGCTCCCATATATATCAAATGGACAATACAAGTCCGAATTTAAAAGATACAAATGCTTCGGCATATTTAGTCTTTTGAACTTTAAATTATAATTATAATCATAGCGTGTATGATTTAATTCTCCCATAAATATTTTTAAGTGTTATGCGGAGCTCTACTAAATTAGCAGAGTGGTGTAGGGTACCATAAAGTCGGCCCCACCCGAATTTAAGACTTTCTTTACTGGTTTTTAATATAATCCTTCTCCAATTGATATCATGCACTCTATAGCAAACTATAACTACTCTAAACCCAAATGTTGAAAGGAGGTATGATCTACTTGAAATAAATTCTTCTGTTTCGGGAGCTCTACCAAATATGCACCACTATGTAGGGTATCATATAGTCGGCCCAGCCCGACTTTTGTCTTTTCCTTACTTGTTTTAATTAAATCTAATAGTGAAATACTTTTCTAATTATATGAATTGCATTGTTTCTTATTATAATCTCCTCCACTCTCTCTCGCTCTCTCTATCTCTTTCAAATATATTCTCCCATAGTTCCATCAATTATCTTAAACGTAAACTAAAACCCCCTGCTGCTAACATCTAATTATAGTTAATTATATTATGGCCTGTATATTTAATGTAATCCACTTGTTTCTCTAGAAATCCAAGTGATAAAGAATCGCTTAAGAAACATGGCAACTGGTGTTCCGCCGGATGAAAAGTTGTTATGGAAAACTAATTAATTAAGGCTGTAAGGATATTAAAAATTGTCATGGTACTAGTGAAATTATAGTTTTAATAAAATTTCATTGCGACATATCAGCAAACAATGTAATACAATAATTACTTTGCCGGATGCTTAATAAGGCCTCGAGCGTATCTGGGAACACATGTTCATACCTATGAGTGATAGTTATTTGATTACCTTACCATAGCGTTCGATAGCAAGAACATATGTTGTTGCGATAATCATCGTTATCACATCAATGGGATGAACACATTTTCAACTAATTACAAAAAGATCTGTGTGTGCGTGAGTGTGTGTGTGTGTGTGCTGAGTAGGTGTATTTGTTGATTTGCATGTAATGAACTTACCGTTGTAAACAGTCTTCACGTCCTGCCAATGCTAATTTAACAATATCCGCAAACACCGGAATTACAACCCAATCGTTCGGTTTCTTCGGTTGCGTTGTTGCCTTTGATGTTGCTGTAGCTGTTGCTGCCGACGACGATGAGGGCGAGGATGATGACAAACTATTCGAAACCTTCGGATGTGTAACTGACGCTGTCGCCAAGGATGCAGATGTGGGTAGATTGTTGGCCGAGACGCTACAGGGGAGGTGATGATTAAATGCAAGTGATGCCGTTGGCAATTGGGTGGCAGTTGAGTTTGTCGCTGTCGATGTCAAAGGTTTTTTTGTGCCACACAGCTCCACATCAACAGGCGAGGAGCCGAGCATCGTTGTCACATTACTGCTGATGGGAGTCTTTATTAGTGACGAGCCACACGACGAGGGTGGAGCTGTTGTCGATCCATCATGGGAGACCGCACTTAACACCGCCGATGATGTTTCCGCTTCGGCATCAACTTCCACATCCGCCGTTGTGGTGGTAGTCATTGTTGTGTCCGTTAATGCTGTTACAGTCGTTGCCGCCGATGATGAGGTGGAGAGGATGGCTGGATTTGCAATTGTTGTCCCCAGTACTGCTGCCGTTGCTGACAAAGCCGATGATGATGATAATACTGAAGAAGTTAAATGGGTTTCAGTCTTTTGTTGCTGATGCAGCTGCTGCTGTTGCTGAAGTTGATGCTGATAGTGATGATTCTCATTTAGGACTATGGCCTGCTTGTGCCACAAATTTCCATGGCCCTCGGCATGACGTTGCATGCAATCTAATTGCTGACATGTCACTTGTAACTTACTCCACTGTTCCGTGGAGTGATGAAATGAGTGATTATTTCCATTTAACAGAGTTGAGGGCGACGTCGAGGATGGATATGTAAAGAGAGAAAGGAGAACATTTGATTCAGATTATAAAGTCGATCCCTAAATATCGGTTAAAATAGTTATACCCTACACCACATAGTGGTAAAGGTATTATGTCTTTGTGCATTTGTTTGTAACATGGAGAAGGAAACGAGATAGACCCATAGTTACTTTTGAGAACCTTCATAGAATCACTTTCTGAGTCGATTTATGCATGTCAGTCCGTCTGTCCGTCCGTCCGTCCGTCCGTCTTTCCATGTATTCTTGTGAAGAAAATGCAGGTCGCATTTATTATCCGATTGAGATGAAATTTTCCAAACAATATTTTTTTGGCCCAAGGACGAACCCTATTGAACCCTGGACGAACCCTATTGAGAATCGGATCAAATTTAGATATTGCTCCCATATATATCTTCATCCGATTTCGGGTTAAATGTGCACCAAATATCCACTATCAGTCCAAATTTTGGCACACCCAACCGAGTTCGGCCTAGAAGCAAGTATATCAAATTTGGAAAAAACGGTTCAGATATAGCTATAGCTCCCATATATATCTTTCATCCGATTTGATCTTTAAGTCCCTCACATCCCTACTATGCACTCCACAACCGTGATATTTGGTACCAGGTATTAGATGGAGCACAGAAATAGCTGTTTTAAATTTTATCGAAATTGGTTCAGATTTGGATATAGCTCCCATATATATCTTCATCCGATTTCGGGTTAATTGACCACCAAATGGCCAATATCAGCCCAAATTACCTGAATTTTGACCCACCCAACCGAGTTCGGCCTAGAAGCAAGTATATCAAATTTGGAGAAAATCGGTTCAGATATAGCTATAGCTCCCATATATATCTTTCATCCGATTTGGTGTTTAAGCCTCTCACATTCGTAATATGCACTCCACAAGAATGATATTTGGTACCAGATATAAGATACAGCCCAGAAATAGCTGTTTGTAATTTTATCGAAATCGGTTCAGATTTGGATATAGCTCCCATATATATCTTCATCCGATTTCGGGTTAATTGTGCACCAAATGGCCGATATAAGTCCAAATGGACTGAATTTTAGTACATCGGACCAAATTCAGCCTAGAAGCAAGTATATAAAATTTTGTGAAAATCGGTTCAGATATAGATATAGCAACCATATATATGTTTCATCCGATTTAGAGTTTTAGTCCCATACATTCGTAATATTCACTCTACAACCGTGATATTTGGTACCAGGTATTAGATGGAGCACGGGAATGGCTGTTTTAAATTTTATCGAAATCGGTTTAGATTTGGATATAGCTCCCATATATATCTTCATCCGATTTCGGGTTAAATGTGCACTAAATGGTCAATATCAGTCCAAATCACCAGTCTAGAAGCTAATATGGAAATTTGGAAACCCGGTTCAGAGTTAGCTATAGTTCGTAAAATGCACGATAGAATTAGATAGATTTTGATTTTGTACCAAATATCTCATAGAGCTCTGAAATGCCCTGTATAAACCTTTTTACGAGAGCTCTACTAAATATGCATAGTGGTGTAGGGTATCATATAGTCGGCCCCTCCCGACTTTTGAGCTTTCCTTACTGGTTTTGGTAAGAAATCATGGAAATTCTTTACATTTTTGTAGCCTCTACTATAGAGGGTATATTAACTTTGTTAAGGGCATATTAACTTCTCGAAATACTTATGTCAGACACAAGGAAGTATATACATTCTTGATCAGCGTAAAATTCTATGTCGATTTAGCGATGTCCCTTTGTTTGTATGTCTACCGGTCCGTCTGTTGTAATCACAAACCAATTGAGATAAAAGGCTAACATTTGTCACACATGCGTATTTTGCCAGTAAGCAGGTTAAGTTCGTAAATGGGAGATGTCGGTCCATGTTATCGCATAGCCCCCATATAACGGTAGTAGATGATTATAGACTGGAATTGTTTCAAATTTCGTTTTGGAAGATCTTAATGTACGACAAAAAGTTACCTATGCAGGTACACGTCGTCGAATATACTCTATAAAGCGGTACCTCGCCATTTTCGGCATTTTTATGGTATTAAGGGACATTATAGACCGGAATTTTTTTCAAAATTCGTATTTGAGGTACGTAATGGGTACTGCAGCCTAAAGCCAAAATTGCGTATCCAGGTCACCGTCTTCATATAGCCCCCATATTACCATACTTCCCGACATTCATTATTTTGATGAATCGGAATCGTTGTTACAACCTTTGACAAAAAAATACTTATGAAGGACCACGTCTGCGTATAGCCCCCATATAAGTGGTTTCATTTTAATAATATCTTTCTACGGAATTTTATTGACACTTTACAAGTTTCTTTAAAATGGTGGAGGGTATTAAAAGTTCAGCCCGGCCAAATCTAGCTGTTTTTTACTTATTATTTTTATTTCAGTTTGAAAACATACTAACGAACCCATCAATCAAGTAAAAACGTTTAGTGCGTCCGGGCCGAATTTTTATACCCTACAGCACATAGTGGAATTATGTCTTTGTGCATTTGTTTGTAAAATGGAGATGGAGATTTTGGCCCAAGGACGAACTTTATTGAAATTGGTGAGAATCGTTTCAAATTTAGATATGGCTATCTTCAACCGACTTCGACCAATAGAACCAGATGACCAGTATCAGTCCAAATGACCTGCATTTTGACTGGTTTAGGATATCATAGGTTGGTTTAGGGTATCATATAGTCGGCCCCGGTCGACGTTTGTCCTTTCCTTACTTGTTTTTTAGTTCGGGAAGTCAGATAAAAATTAAAAATGAGTTTTTATCTCGAAACAGTTTTACTGTTAGTTAGTTACTGTTTACAATATACTCATAGTTCACTACACCAGTTCTTAAACGTATGAGTGATTTAATAAATTTGATATATTTCAAATCACTCATACGCAAAGTTTTCATACAAACGACTGGAATCCACGGAACTTTATAGGAAGCCAGTTCGTTTGATCGAACTAAATTGTCACAACTAGATGTGACACTCTTTGAGTAAATGAGCGATATGACGTTAACCCTGCGGACTTAGAGTACTTTGTAGTACTCTTAAAATGTTTGATATTGGTATATACAGGGTGAGATAAAACAACTGCAACAAAGTCAAACCCCACAATTTTTATTTATTTTTTTTTAAATTCTATTGAATGAAAGCAAAAAATCTCGGAAATAGCAACAAATTTTTGAATATGTTTAGTTTTGTTCGAATTGGTCACCTTTGACACGAATTATGGCCGTCAAACGGCCAATGAAACAGTCACACGCTGTTCGAACGTTGCTCTGAGGTATTTTGGCCCATTCCCGACGAAGCACTCGCTTTGTGCCATCCTTGCTTTCCAAAATACTTCAGACACAATAGTCCAACGGATTGATATCCGGAGATATTGGTGGCCATTGTGTGCTGAAAATGAAGCGAGGAACCTCATTTTGTAACCATTCTTGGGTGGCGCGTGCTGTGTGCGATGGTGCTGAGTCCTGAGTGGAATGTCCAAGGTCTGCGGACAAAATGTTTTCGTACCCAAGGTTTAAATACACCCTCCAGAATATTTTCGCGATTATATTCGCATTCATTCTGATGCAACAGTCGATTAATACGAGCGGAGACCGACCATCGGCTGTTATGGCGGCCCACACTATCACCATGGCCGGCGCTTGAGTTTTGGTAGCCAACCGAAGGTGCACATTTTCAGCTGGCCTCTTTTGCAAGTAAACACGATCATTTTGTTTCTTTACAAACTGCTGGACAACGAATGTTTTCTCATCGGAGAAAACCAAATTCGGCAGTCCACCACTTTCGGCCAGGCGAAGCAATTCTTTAGCTTTTTTGAGTCTATTTATACCCCACAACACTATGTGTTGGGGGTATTATAAGTTTCATTGGCCCAAAAATTCTGCAACAACTCGAAATATTGGTTTTCCACATAGGAAAGTATATATAGATCTTCCTATCTCGCCGAGCTGACTCGATCTATCTATGTATGTTGTAATCACGCTACAGGTCGCAGTTATGGCCGATCTTCACAAAATTTAGAATGAAGGTTGGACTAGGATCAGAATAGAATTGCATAATATTTAGGGGTTGAAATGGACCAAAAAATTTAAAATGTCCTGATTTTGTAGTTGCTCCACAGGTAGCAATTATATACCAATCGACGCGGAAGTTAGCATGGGGCTTGATCTTAGGGCTGGGCTGAGCCTTTCAATTTTGATGACCATGACCATAACATTTGTGTTAAATCAAAGTCAAATTTTCAAATTCTGACCGATAGTATATATCGGATATATATTGCGAAATATATACAATGTGTATATACAAAGGAAGGGGATGTTAGCTAGAATGCATATATGTCATGAATGGTTGAACCGATTTTGTATGGATAAACTATTTTTTCTGCAACAGATTTACAGCATGGGAAATAAATCCACAAACTTCATAAAAAATCGAGGAACTTAGTCTGAATTCCTGATATTTTTGAGAAAATCGTTTACCCCTATCTCTGTAACTCCCTCAGACAATCCCTTCAAAACTAAAACTTTTTTAAACAAATATGTACAACAGTAAACAGCGAAAAATCAATATGCTTTTCATGATTCTTGAATCTTCATTAAGACCTTCGTGTGTTTGCCTTTTTGAGTTTGTCATCATAACGCCATAAATCTTGTGATTGACATTTATGGAAAAAAAAAAAACATTGAATTTCACATCTTTTGCTTATGAATGCAAAAGCGTGCGGAGAACCCAACACACAAAAGCCAGTGCAATAAAGGAAAATAAAAAGGACATCAAGGATGACATTGATATTCAAAGCATTGTAGTTTCAAAAGGAGAGAGAGAGAGAGTAGTAACGGCACGGGTAGGGGAAAGAATCATGATTGTGTTGATTACGCAGCGATTTCATTATGCCATGGTTTGGTTCAATTTCA